AACACAAAGAAAACAATTTTGAAAATGATGAGCAAGTACCTAAGAGCCCTTAGATAACTACGGATATAAAGGGTGATAATACCTTCCCTTTCTATAATCTACCCTCCGTACTCAGAAATATCTCGAAAAAAGAATTTTTCTGTGCTTTTTCTTTTCCTTGTTGGATAAAATAAAAGATGGTGGCGACTCTTGCTTACCGCGACATTTTGCAAACACAAACGCAAAACGCAAACCAGCAAAATTTCCTTAATGAAATAGGGAAACCACGTTCTGGTTCTGGCCATTGTATCACAAAGTGGAAGTTGAAAAAATCGCTAATATTCCAATCAAATTCAAAGCAGTTACTGGCATTCCATAAATAGTTGAAGTCGAAGAGGTTGTGGCTGAAACAAGCCAAAAACCTCAAAGAAATAGAGTTCTTCCAACAAGACTTCATGATTATCAAGTGGTGGGTGATGATGAAGTCACGCCAAATGAAAAATTAGTTCATTTTGCTTTACTTGCAGATGCTGAACCAATTAACCATGACGAAGCTTTGCAGATTAAAGAGTTGAAGTTATCTATGGTCGAAGAGTTACTGGCAATCAAAAGAAACAATACATGCGAGTTAGTCAAATTTCAAGCACATACAAAAGTTATCAAAGTGAAGTGGGTGTTCAAGTTGAAACACAATGTTGATGGGTCTATAGAAAGATGTAAAGCAAGATTAGTAGCTCGAGGGTTTCTTTAACGAGAAGGACTCGACTACTCTGAAGTATTTTCTCTAGTAGCAAGATTGAAGACTATTCGACTAGTGTTAACATTGGCATGCGATCAAGGCTGGTCGACATTTCATTTAGATGTGAAATTATCATTTCTGAATGGTCCTTTAGACGAAGAGGTCTATGTTATATAACCTACAGAATTTGTGATTCAGAAGGAAGCGAGTAAAGTATAAGTTGCACAAAACCCTCTATGGCCTCAAGCAAATATCTAGAGCACGGAACAAGAAGACCGATTCATACTTAGTCGAATTGGAATTTGTCAAATGCAAATCTGAATATGATGTCTATGTTCAGGTTCTAGCACAAGATATAACAATCATCTGCTTATATGTTGATGACTTATTGGTACTGGAAATAGCTTAGAGAACTTGTCAAAGTCAAAGAGCTGATGATGAGAGAATTTGAAATGTCAGATATGGGAAAATTGTCTTATTTCCTAGGCATGAAACTTCAAATATCGAAGCAAGGTATGGTTCTACATCAAAAGAAGTATGTCAAAGAGATACTCAAGAGATTCAAAATGGAGGATTCAAATCCTGCATCCTCGCCTGTCGAACCAAATATGAAGTTGGAAAAGAATGGAGAGGAAGACAAAGTCGATTTAACTTTGTTATAGAAAATCGTGGAATCTCTAAGATATGTTTGCAACAGTTGATCTAATATAAGTTTCGTTGTCGGATTAGTAAACAGATATATGAGTGAGCCAAGAGTGTCACATATGAAGGCTGCAAGAAAAATCCTGAGATATTTCAAGAGTTTGATAAACTGTGGAATACTATTTCAACGAGATTTTAAAGGTAAAGAAGAAATAGTTAATTTCTTTTCAGATGTTGATTAGTGTGGAGATAAGGAATATCAAAGAAACTCAATTGATAATTTCTTCCAAGTATTTGGTGCCCCAATCTCATGGTGTTTGAAAAAGCAATATGTGGTGACATTATCATCGTGTGAAGCTGAATATATAACGGAATCCTATGTTACATGTCAAGCAATTCGAATCAGATCTGTATTTGAAAAAATGAAGGTTGAAGTGAAGAAACCTCTTGTGTTGCGAATCAACAAGTTAGCCATAAATTTGGCGAAGAATCTAGTTCTGCATGGAAGGAGTAAGTATATCGAAGCTAGATTTTACTTTCAAAGGAAAAAGGTAAATCGAAGTGAACTTGAACTTAGACATTGCTCAAATGAAGCACAGTTGACCGATATTTTCACTAAAGAATTGAAGATCGACAAATTCTTGAATTTGAATAAAATTAAAAATAATTCAGATCGACTATGATTATCATAGGTTCGACAACTTAGATTAAGAGAGTGTTGAAATATTTGATTGGATTTGATTAGATTTAACATTATAATTCAAGTTGTGTTAGTCAAATAGTCATAGTTTGTGTCTTTATTTGTAATAAGTGAATAATATAATCCTTATTTTCTTTATTATTTTCTCTTTCTCTCCTCACTAAAAGTGTCTCACGCACTAACAAACACATGGTAGAAGTGAAGGTTGTCTTAGAGAACTATAATGAATTTTGTATGAAGCAATGGATAAAAAATTTGAATCTATATGTTGTGCAGATATAACTGTCAGTTGATCTTGTTTGTTTTGATAATGATAACTATCAAATTATGATGACAACTTCCAAGTTGGTTCAACGGTAATATTTTTAGTGATGACAACTTTCAAATTGGTTCAACGGTTATATTTTCAATGATGACAACTATCAAATCAATTCAATGATGACAACATCTTAAATCAAACGGCATTCGATAACAATTGTCAAAGAGGAAATTAATATCAACTATTCAGTAATATGTGATAATAACATATAATAAAAAATATCTCAAATCTTGTCAATAAGAAAATTCAACTATGACCAAAAAAAAAAAACTCATTACATATTATTTAACAGAAGAAACAAACAATTTTTATCACCGTACCCTTTTTATATGGGCTATGCTATAATAATTAGAATTTTGACTCAAAATAGATAATAATTGAAAATCGGAGAAACCGGTTATTCCAGATTAAAAAAACACTTAGACTCTAGTAGAAAAATATTTAGTGTTCCTATTTAAAAGGCCACCCTCTAAATAACATAAAATATAATGTCCAAGTTATGTATCGTTCAAATAATATCATGTGTTAACCAAAAATCAGTGACAAAAGATGCCATGTCGTGAAAACGATCAAGAAATTTTAAAGTGTGTGGTCTAGTAGTTTGATAACCAAGTGTAACATACCCTACCAACTGGGAGATCCACCTCACATGTTCTCTCGTGCCATTGAAATGTGAAATCCATAAAACTAGAAACCAACATTAGAAAGAAAATCGACATCTGAAAAGTTAGATAGGATCTAACCCTTCAACTCTCCCTCTGAAGTAAGGTAAATTGGTTTTGTGTGAAGAAAGAAGGGAAACTTACCAAACACATGCATTAAGCACACAAACTATGGTTAAGGCAGTCAACAAAGAGAGAGAGTGAAAGAAAAAGAAGTTGACCAAGCATCTTGTGGGTGAGCTACCTGCCTCTTTCACACGCTCAATGGCGTTGAATATTTTAATAAAATCATGCACCTTTGATGCCTTTGGGCTTTAACCATGTACCCATGCAATTCTAATTGACACCTCTTATATATATAAACAATAGTAAGTTACAACCAAATAAAAAACAGAGAAGGAGGAAAAAAAAACTTAAACCAACACAGAAATATTCCACGTCTTCCCTTTTTGCCTCAAAGAATTCAAAGACTGGTAGAGACAATTCACAAGTCGTGGAAGAAAAACAAACAATTCTTATACTTGATACTTCCCTCCATTTCTTTCGAGCAGGAGACTTAACCTATTGAGAAAAAAAGAATAGAAAAATGGGGCGTATTCCATGCTGTGAGAAGGACAATGTGAAGAGAGGTCAGTGGACACCTGAGGAAGATAATAAGCTCACTTCTTACATTGCTCAACATGGTACACGCAACTGGCGCCTCATTCCGAAGAATGCTGGTTAGTCCCTTTTCTTTCCCTCTCCGGCTATATTATTTGAAATCAATGTCAATAAATCAAACTTTAATACTTGATTTTGTGGATTTAATAGGCCTTCAGAGATGTGGAAAGAGCTGCAGGCTAAGGTGGACTAATTACCTTCGTCCTGATCTTAAACATGGGCATTTCTCGGATGCAGAAGAGCAAACCATTGTGAAGCTTCACTCTGTCTTTGGCAACAGGTACAATAAATGTTATTATGAATTGAGGTTATGTTATTTGCAGTATATAGGATTCTCTTTATCACATTGTTAATGCCTTCTTTACATGGATGTTCAGATGGTCATTGATAGCAGCCCAGCTGCCTGGACGCACCGACAATGATGTCAAAAACCATTGGAACACCAAGCTGAAAAAGAAACTCTCAGGCATGGGTATAGATCCTGTCACCCACAAGCCATTCTCTCATCTAATGGCTGAAATTGCTACAACATTGGCACCCCCACAGGCAGCTCACCTAGCTGAAGCAGCTCTAGGTTGTTTCAAAGATGAGGTGCTCCACCTTCTTACCAGGAAGCCGATTAACTATCAGGGCCAGCATTCAAATGCAGGACTGGCAAATAACATCACCGACTACTTCAACTGTAAGCCAGAAGAAAGGGAAGATGCTGTTGAGAAGATTAAGTTTGACCTATCAAAGGCCATGCAACAACAAGATGAAATGTTACTCTCAAATAAACCTTGGGACTCCACTGCAGCTACATCTGCAAGTTTTGCAATGCCATACAGTGTTTTCCCTACGATGTCTGGGTTTCAATTTAGCCCGTCTTGTTTTGGAAATAAAGGGGATGCATCACCATGGAGCCAGAGTTTATGTACTGGAAGCACATGCACGGGCATAGATCAGCAAAGCCAGTTCCATGAAAAACTCGAAGAGGAAAATGTGGATGATTCAGAGGCTACAAAAGAAATTAGAAATCTATCCAATATATTCAACTCAGACTGCGTCATGTGGGATTTACCAGCGGATGATTTAATTAACCCCATGGTATAAGAAATATTACTATATTACAAAATAGAGGATGTTTAGAAGCTCAACTTGTGAGACTGCATTATGGAATAAAATTCTTACAAATATGATCAATGGTACAAAAATGTAAATAAGAGCTATTTTACAAATTACAAATACACAACAAATGAAAAGTATACTTTGCCTAATCAATTTTCTCATTATGTCCTAACAATGTCTTCGGTTATTAGATCAAGCAAAATATGATGATGAAGAGGATGTATCTGCCAGAATCTGTGAATATGGGGGAAAATAACCATTAGGACAAATATACTAAAAAAAAGTAGTAATAATTAAGTTTTCTAAATCACACACAATAGTTTAGACTCCATAAAAAGCTACCTCAAGTTGCTCTTCAGTGAATAACTCTTTCTGAACATTCCATGTATCAGCATGGGTCCGCCGGAACTCTGCAACAGCTTTTGTAACTGTTGATTTCACAGGAGACGGTTCCCCGCTAAAGCGGGCTAGTAATGTAACATGCTCCGGCAACCAACTGAAAGAAGTTATGCAATCAGTATCAACAGAAAAAATAGTGTCAAGAGAATAAATAGACTGTATAATCAAGAAAAATAAACCAGTGATTGGTGCACAGGGTGTGAGTGTTGCAAATTCCAAAATATCTTCAAATATCCCCAAAACAAAGAAGAGAAAAAAGTATGTTTGTGATCCTTGTAAAATCTATAATTGAGCTCAACACCCAGAACCCGAGTCCAATTAGAGTAAAAAATAATTCTTGCAAAAAGCTTATTCTTTCTCCCAATTTAATTGCGCAAGTGAATGTGATTTCAAGAAAATCTTTTGAATTTCCCCCAACCAAGTCCACTGATCATTTGTCAAATTCAATTACCATCAATCAGAAAAAGAATATTCGGGTATTAGACTATAGCCTTGGCAATACCACCTCAATCATTTATACTTCTAATGATATAGGGACATTACATTTTACTTTGATATTGTTCCTTTGATTTTCATGGATGAACTTACATTTCCAAGTGATGCATGAGTTGAAGATAGCGGTAGACAGCAGTACAAACATCACGGTTAATGTAGTTATTTCAAAATGCGTCAACAAGAGATTTATTTTCTTATATTATTGACCTATTGTCTAACTTCTTTTCTACTCTCTCAGGTTGATGTTACATTAGGCATTACTAACATACCAAGTTACCAATATGTACTCATGTTCAATGGATATTATATTGTTGGACAAACCTGGGCATATCATAAGGGGCTGATAATACAGAAGCTACCAAAGCTAGTACAGCACCATGAATAGATGCTACAGATGAACCAGAGCTTGCGTTTCTGCATTTGAAAATTTCAACACTTAATCAAAAACATGAAATGTGCTATAGATAAAAATTTGAGAGAGGGATCAGCTGCTCAATTGACCAATAAAAATTATGTTTGCTGTCTTGCCTATATGTTCACATGATGTACCATGACTTTATTTCTTGTTAATGCCAAATATGAGTTAAACAATTAAAAGCTTATTCTCCATGTCGAGAAATCAAATTTCAACTATGCCATTTTCATAAAGAATTTACAGATTTTTTCAAAAATGATTTTTTTTTAAATAATTTTTATAGTTAAATGTTTTTGTTTAAAAAAATTAAACTTTTCATAAAAACTTCAAATAAAAATTCGGTTTGAATAGCTATTCTTAAAATGTTATTTTAGGTATTTTGTCATTTTATTGGAACTTTTTTTGGATATTAAAATTTCAAAAAATCATTTAATTTTGAAACTATTTCAAATAGTTTTTCATTAAAATCAATTTTGAAATACAACTTTTTGAAAAAATTGTGATTTCGACTATAGTTTGATCTTCAATAATGTATGTTTATGTTATAGAATGTCAAAATTGGTCTTTCAATTTCGAAAAAACAAATTTTAAAAAACTTCACATTTTGAAAAACATTTTATTAAAAATCATTTTTGAAAATACAAAGAAAAAATCTATTTTTTTAAAGCTAAAACAAGCAGGCCCATAACTTTACAAGATCATGGACAAGCTATGAAGATGATATTACATTCAAAGAAATTAATCAGCATTTAGGCTTTTTTTAGGCCCACTTTTTTCACAAAATAACAACTAAACGATCCAGAAACATGAGGTAATCTTTACTCTTTAGTATATAATATTACAATGAAAGAATTCACCTTGATTTTCTTCTTTTTTGTACAATATTAGCCTCGACATAAGCTCGATCACGGAAATCTTTAGCAAGTTCTTCATCTCCACCCTTCATTAAGCCTGCTAAAACTGCTGCAGCATGTTCTCTTACCTAGACAAAAGATTAAGTCCTCCAGAATGAGATGATTTAAATGTGGTAATCAGAATCGAACCAGATTCTTGTTATAAAAAGATTCACATCCGACTAAATGTAAATAGAAACCATCAACAATAGATGAAATCACGAGGATAAAAACAAAGCAAATGTCAGAATATGGTTTCACAAAAATATATGTCCTTATAGATTTTATCCACACAAAGAACAACAACCACCAGAAACTAAATATTTCAAGTGAACATGCTTTCTCCACATGTAAGTCAAACAAGCTCGCATCTGGTGTACGATCTTTCCACATTCACAACCCAGTTTTTAAAAGTGAAAAGAAGATCCAGGCTATTAGACAAGTAGGACGATTCAGATGAAAAAATTTCAACAAGCTTAGGATTTTCTATGTAGTACACGTATCTCATCCTAAATTATCCAAATTCCAAAATATAGAAAGGAAGAAAAACAACATATTTTGATATCGAGAGCTTGCCTCTACTTGGTTGTCTATTAATAACTTCTCAACTGTTCTCCAAATTTCTTGTTTCTTTGAACTTGAGAGAATGAAAGTGTGCCTGTTAAAAAAGGAACAAACTTTTATTTTCTTTTCCTTCATAACAGGTAGTAGTTAGATAATTTTGAGAAAATGATTATAATGAAAAAATTATATGTAAAGCACCGTTTGCTTATACTTCAAAACATAGACTTAATTAGTTGACTTAAAAATAAAAATATTACCACATGAAGATAGACACATATAAGGACTTCAATTACTTATAGTATGATATGCCAAAGCAAACCAGATACGAGATCATAATACCTGTACATGAAAGTACGCAGATATGTCAATGTAGCAGATCTAGTTCGCCAGTTGGAATCATTAGCAGCAGAAAGAATCACAGTTATGGCCTTCTGGAGGTGAGGTTCCCAAACAATCATCCATTTTAGTAATTCAAATGCTGCCTTGGCTAATGTTGACAAATCCTTATTTGATGTGTCCTTCAAAAGAAAAGAAAATTACTCAGGCGTGATAACCTATATTATAATTGAATGATGATAGGAAAAAAAATTATATAAATTTTTTTATGATTTTTGAATACTTCTCCAAAAGTATAGGAGTGTTAAAAGAAAATTACAAGATATATCATCCTATAATTAACTCCCGGAAGAGAATCAAGATTCTGAGTTTGGTGTTTACAGAAAAATAAAGATTCTGAGTTGGTGTTTTTAAATTTTATGAAGCTCTGGTGAATACTAAGAGAACCAAACTGGCTCTTAATACCATTAAGATAATCAGATGTCTACACTTGAAGGCTTTAGAGAATAAGAAAATCAAAATCATCCACAACAATTCATACAAATTTTCAAAAAGAAACACACTATCAAGTTCACAAAATATAGTCAAATCTATAGCACAAACCTGCAAGGAAATCACAGGATAAAGAAGTCCCACAATCACATCGCGGAGATAAGAGGACCTCCCAGACTTCAATGATGAGATGATGAAATAGAGTAGCTGCATTTGTTTGGAATAATAATTAGTAAAATAAAAAATAAATTATATAATAAGTAAAACCAGAACCCATAAAACTATATCCCTATTAGTACCGTTTCCATCCATTTCATATCATCTTGTGAATCACCATCTACATGACCATTTTGAGAACTTGAATCTATCGGATTCACAGCTTTATCTGATTGGGAAGCAATCTGAATGTTCACAACTGCTTCAGCTGCTCTCTCTGTAAGATACTGAACCCAGCTTTCATCTTTTATCAAATTATCATCAACATTTTTGGTTCTCTCATCACCCGCATTATCATGATCACTTGAATGATATAGCCGAATGTTAGAGCACAATACAGAAAGGGTAACCCCTAGAGCCTCCCTTACCTGTTGTATAGGCAAATTAAAATAGGTCAAAACCATAAACCATTAAAAAAATGTATGCCCACTTATATACTCATGTTGCATAACATGGAGGGGGACATCAGCTTCAATGCAAAACCATTTTTTTCACACTTTCAAGAATTAAAAAATGATTCTCCAGAATAATAAGGTCCGTGAATATAAATATGTTAGTTTAATTCCTGGATATTTAATTAAAAAAATGTTTGAATATAATTTGATATTCCTAGGAAAATTGATAGTTATATTTTTTACAAAAAAAAAATTGTAAAACTCCATGGGAATCGATATTCCCCCGCCGCCTTCTCACATGAGAATAAAATCATGGAAGTTATTTCATTCCTAGGAACCTTTATGCCCAGAAATAATTTTTTCTCAACCTTAAAACAAACATGGATTATAACCATTTCCTAGCCAAGTGTTCACGGGAATATGATTTTTATACTTGATACAAGCACCCCTAACTGACCATGCATTAGTTAATAAATTTCTTCCTTGTTTTAACATATTTTTTAAGAGAGATTATTTTTCTCCTTGCAACTTCCCGAATCGTTTTAAGTTTAAAATCATATGCGTATAATTTTGATCTTATAATTAACACTAACCCTATATACTTAGTTCTATAAAGAGATAAACCAGAGCATGGTTTTATATACAACAGTTATATTCTCCAAGACACTTTCTTGTAAATGCCTAAATAATCAACCAAATCAAGTGATAGAATATGCCTTAAAGAAGCCAGCTCGAATATTCCTTCATCATCCCATGTCCTAGAACAAATGCTAGGAAGAGATCCATATTAAGAATCTAAACATTCAACTAATTGCACATAAAAAAAATTTAAAAAGCAAAATATATTACTAAAAGACACTAATCCCGAGCACAAGATGTATAAACCAAATGAATATCTTGAATCTGGACACCTAGCATAACAAATTATCCCAGTATAGACTAACTCTCAACAACTGAGGAAACCCATTTATCACTTGATATGTATATTACTTTGAACCGGGTATGGAGGCCAAGGATTCAATTGAAATGTAATCCTTCGTATTATATGTTGCAAATTTAGTTAGTCTTGAGGCTAATTTTTTACTCGTATTTGACACAGACGACGTTAGTAACAGCAGTATGAAAGACTGAATTTCCTAAAACAGTATACATTAAAATGTGACTGTATTTTCAAGATATGCATAAGGCTTCGTTGATGTTGTTGTTGTATGCTTATTTAAAGTCATAAGAAATTTGAACTATAGTCAAATTGGAGGGAACCAGCCAGGGAGGGTCCAAAGTGATAGATAAAGGATCACAACAGGAGAGTTTAGATATGATTCACTAAAAAAATAGGATTAGAGGGAATGCTTACTTGGGCTGAGGAGTGGCACATGTTACCAAGAACTTCCTTCAGAAGTGTAATGTGGAGCTGGATTTCAGCTACTGGCATTTTCTGTGGGGATATTTCTATAAGTGCAGCAGCCAGAAAAGCATATCGCTTGGATGTTACAGTCGTAGCTACTGTTGGAGGTAAAGGTTCCATCAAGGAATCCAGAATTTTTTGTCTCAAAAGAGGAACTCTTGTTCCATACTTCCCTTTACCAGTAACTGCATATCTTATGCAAGAGGACCACTCAGGAACTGATTCAACAGATGGTGCTAAAATTATATTCTTCAACTGTGGCATCAGCCAGCCTTCCCATGCTCCTGATAGACCGTCAATATCAGAATGTAACATACCTGCCAATGCTTCAGCAGCTACACATTGTTTAGACCTCTCCTTAGCAATTGTAAACTCATCTACTGCACCTTTAAGTGCCAACACTACAGGCATGCCACATTCTTGTACTAGCCGCTTGAAAATACGAGCAAAACTTGAGTAGAATGTATCACTTCCTAAAAAGGAGATCCAACTGGGAGTACGTGGCCATGAAGCCGAAAATTCAAAATAAAAACGGGTTATAGATTTGTCTGCTAAGCTTTGAATACTGGAATCTCCTTGATTTCCCCTTGAAGCAGATTCGTTATCAGTAATTATATGAACATGAGAAAGACTGGTGAGTGTATCATCGAAGAAACCATCTTCCTGAAACGTTTGGGTTAAAGCTCCTTCAAGGGATGACTTGACATGGCCTTTCAAATCCTTGAGTACGCCAGATTTCTCACCAGGAGACAGCTTATAAGGTGATTCCTTTAATAATGTATTCAGAGCGGAAATAGCAAGTATCCTTGTCTGAGGAAGTTGACTTTTCAGATTCTTCAAGAAGTGGCCTGAATAAGAAACAGCATGAATAGCATAAAGACAATGCATAAAAAAAGGTGCAGAAATACCGACTTTGAATGTGCAAAAGGCAAGCCAAAAAAATAAAACAGACAATAAAAGATCCAGAAAAAACAAGAAGCTAGACAAACCAGCAGCTTCACTCAGGATTTTAGATGATGAATTTGGATGGCTCCGAGATGCCAAAGCCAGCAGGAGAAGGACTCTGTTAGCCATCAAATTATACCTGAAAAAAACGAAGCTAACAGGTCAGCATTTTAAATGTGCAAGAGTCTCGATAGAAATCTTAAACTAGTTAACGAATTGTGAAGCAGCATGTAAATGAAAAGAAAGCAGCGGAAAGACAGAACACGAATATACAGAAGAACAACTCATTAATCATGAGTCACAATTTTCAAACCAAATGAAGAAACATTTACCGCCAATGCAAGCCAGTAGAATCAAAACTCATAGAACCAATCTGAGAAACCAAATCGGGAAAACCCAGTCCACCAGTATGCTTGTCTGTGTCTGATATCCTGAAAAAGCTTCTAGATACTCCAGAAAATTGGATGTTGTACTTCACAAAAAGCTGTTGGAAATAAGGAAAAGTTAAACAAAAAAGCACAAAAAGAAATTACAATAATCTGGTTTAGGGAAGCTTACCTCATTAATTGCTTTCTGAGATTTCAAGGATTCGTGATGAGAACTTCAAGGAAAAAATAGGGAAAGTATTATTCTCTAACGTTACACAAGGTACAGCGATTTCTATCTAAAAGGAGGAACAGAGAAAATGGAATTACCTAGAAAGAATTGACAAGATAAATGAAGAGAATGACTTTTGATCCTAGAGTCAAACCAAAGAAAGTGTGTAAGAAATGAGAATGTTAGCTGTCTATAAAAGAATTTTAAGAACCTAATCCTTGACAATCACCGTAGTCAAATGCTTGAGAACTGTCTGTGAGGCAAGGACTGAACAAGAACCCAAGACTGAATACTCCTTGGCATTGGGGTCCTGCAAGTTAGGAGTAAGAGTCATGACACATTTTGAAATCATAGATGGCCATCTCTTGATCAGCTTCACTAGAGATTTTCCTGCAAGCCTGGATCATAAAAGAATCTTAATCAGGCATAAAACAGGTATACAATAAAGCATGTTAAATTATTGGATGAGACATCAGCAGGCATCCAAAAGGAAGGAGAATCAAGATAAATATTTATAGATCAATTAAAAGAAATTAAACTTAACTTCTATAACAGATGAAACCTCAAAGAAAGAAGTAAACAAGGTTTGAATTTTATATTGATACTTGATGCCACTGCACATATTATTGACGCAATAATATATGCCATTATTTTCTCTCTTTTTAGAAGAAAATAAGTTTCATTGGAGAAAACAAGAGCACAAATAGATTATATGACCAGTCACAGTGTAGATGATTCTGACTGGTGGTTTCCAACTTTCAAAATAAATTGCTTTCATTTTACTAAAAAATTAGTATTTGACTTAATAGGCAACGTAAGCAGTTCAACCTTAAATAAAAATAAATGAAGCATCTAATCTTGGATTGAAACATGACGAAGGAAACATGCCACAACTTGATTCTTAAGCCCTTTAGCAATTATGGACAATACTTTATGCCCTTTTTTCTTTTCCTTATAAATAATTGAAAATTTATTGTACACGCTATAGAAGTCAAATCAATGCCATGTTAGACCATTGGAGGTGTAAAACTCTCTAAATTCTATATAATGGCAAAGCTTTTGAACTGATTTCACTGTGCTATTTTTTGCTTGGCAAAAGAATTCTGGATTCTATGTTTGTTCATTAAATAACGCTAAATTATATTGCTAAGATGAAACATTAACAATAAATGCTACATAGAAAACATAAGCTAACATATAAAAATCAAAATAATATAAAAATCAGAATTTCAGTTAGCTTTAGATTTCTCAATCACTTACAGGCGGACAGTTTCATAGCTATGCAAACAAAGACTCAACAAATCATCCATCAAATTAGTCACGTGCTCAGATGGAGAGTAATTCCCACTTGTACGGTAAAGATGATAGGATGCTTGTGAAGACCTCCAGGTATTGTGCATGAATGCCTTGTCAATAAGAGACCACCTAGGTCTGAAATGACGACAAACTCGGTCTTACTAAAAAGTTCTTTCCGGAACAGTTCTCGTGTTCAAGAGAAAAGTGAAGTCAAAGTATTAGTACCTCTTCTTTCCTTTAGAATGGGATGACACAATAAAATTAATTGGTGGTTCTATTATGGCAGCAGATTCCAACTTCCAAGCCTGTCTGTGACTAGACCACTCATCATATTCCAAACTTCCTGTGTACGAAAAGGAAACAGAATTAGTGCTTATGCATATACAAGCAAATTGGGGATAAATATGTAAAAAATATTATATGGAAGGAGAATTCCATACCATAATTTCCCAAAGCGTCAATAATTCGAATGATGAGTATCAACAGGATGCTGTCATCAGATTTATTCTCGAGGACGTATCTGTTAATAAACAAAGATCAATGGCATTGTGTGATTTATAGAAAACTACAAGCACATAAGTGTAAGGAATGATGTATAAAGTAACAGTAAATGTGACCCTTACTTGCAGGCTGCATGTATAGTCTCAGTAGCTTTTTCTCTCAGACCAGTAGTTCCAACAGTACAGCCAGTTGCCCCAGCAATTAGAAATATATTCTTTGGATCTTCAACCATTCCATTCCTAGAGTCTGGGACAAAATCAGGCAAGCAAGAAAAGAGTCCTTGCAATGATGATTCAATACGTAAAAGAGTCACTTTCAAGTGCTCTTTCTCATCTCCTGCATGGAAAATTACATTCAATAAAACAACTAGAAAAGCATACAGAAAGTGGTCGGTGCAATTGCTGCAAGAGATAGTTTTGATGATGTGATACTAGTAGCAAGTGCTCTATGAGAATGCTGCTGATAATTCGCTTGGTTTACTAGTGTTGAAATTTTTCCGATTTGTGTTGGTGTGAATGTCAGCATTTAACATTCTTTATGATGGTTGTTTCAAGGTTTATTATTTTTATTTGCAATTGGGCATATTAATATATTTTTCCGTTTCATTAAAAAAATAAAAAGAGGAAAATTACAAGAAAACCGCATAATCTATATCAACATACTGAACATAGATAATTTCCAGAAATATTCATAATTAATACTAGTCTTTGTCAAAAAGGAACTTAAATAAGAAATCTTGCTAATGACTACATGATAACTAAGTAACTTCTTGAGACAAATGCTTATTTGTCATACCTTGATCAGCATGAATTTTAGTTTGGCATATTTTCAACAGTTCATCCAAAGCAGACTTAAAGTGAATATCTAAAAGCTCGTTTGCAAAATGAATTTCTTCATCACAAGGAATATGCCACTTTGGAATCAACCTTTCAGCAGTGGAAAAATCTTTTGTGCTAATCCATTCTTCAAGAGCAACAGCATCAGGGTGACTAAGAACACACCTAGAAAACCAAAGAAAAAAAAAAAAAAGCTAGTTACCGAAGATATACAGCTAAAGAATCAGGCAAAAAATACTACGAAAACACGGTGAAATGAATGCAATGCAACCCTTATCATACATACTTATATTGGTCTATTGGATAATAGTGAATCTGACTTCCAAGAAGGGACCGAAGAAGATGATCAGCAGCCCCATTAACCTGTCAATGAAAGTAGCAATCAAATATAGATATTGATGGACTACTTACTACTCGGCACTGAATTCATTCTTATAAGTAAGAGAATATAATCAGCTTATTTGAAAAAAACAGATCAAGTGCACCGCTAAGAATAAGACCTTCCAAGATGGTGAGTCAAAAGCCAAAAAGATAGCTTCTTTTAATTGATCCTTGTAGCGGAGAAGTGCTGGACCTCCATATGTGATGCCAACTGATAATACCTTTAGTTGATAGTCGATTGCAGCCTCAAGAGCAGGTGAAATTGTGGACCTAACCTGAAGTAAAGAAGTCTCAGTTTTCCAGAGAATCCAGAGGCAACATCACAATCAACGATAATCACAACTGACCAAAGTCAGGTACCTTGGCTGAAGCAGAAGTATCAAAAGTCCCAGCTCCTCCAAATCCAGTGCCTGGTGTTCCTTTCAAAGAGGATATCACAGACACTAATATTGGCTCAACAAGTTGACTGACTCCTTCTTCCGGGTTGGAGTGAACACACGCACAACAGAGCAGACCAACCTCTGCAATAGCACCAGGAAGAATATTTGTCCTCACAAACTTTGAAATTTTCTTCAAGGCCTGTTTGATATATCAGGGAAGTGTAAGACAGTACATTAGCTCAGAAATAGTCTGTATCAGGAATTTTTAAATTATAAAGTAATACCTGATTGTATAGTGATTTTGAAAGCCTCCCAAGAAGAATTTCAAGAACACAAAAGTAGTATGGACCATCATCAACTAGGAAAGTTCCTGATGAAGCTGATGAGTGAAGTCCTTCATTTCTATTATACCAAAAACCAATGATCCAATTATTAAAGCATAATAACAAACATACAAAATATCCACCTAACCAACATCTTTGTCAAATAAAGTAACATGCAAGACAGGGGACTTTGACACCATTACTTACAAAACACTGCTGGGTTCTAAGTGTAGAAGTAAGGAAAACAGACGGCATAAGAACTCATCCAGCCATTCAGAAAAACGGATCATTGGCATAAAGGATAAGTCATCAATTTTATCATCCAATAAAGCCAACTGCATTTACACAGTGAAGAGGTCAAGAACTCACTACAGTAGTACTAGCAAGAAGCTGTTTATTCAATATATCAAAATGATTAAACTCACATTTGAAAAGATGGAACCAATTAATTGCATGGTAGCTAAAGTTTTTGGAGGGTCGTTAGCATCCATGCCAAGTAATGCATTGGATAATGAAACCCCAATAAGATCAATGAATGTTTCATCACCACCACCAAAATCCACCTTTTTCATGGAAGAAGCTGATACAGATGTATAAAATAGTGAACGCCCAACAAATGCCACCGACATAACTGCAATTTTCAACTGATGGGTAGCAGTCATCTGGCTAGGAAAAATGAATGTTGTCAGAAAATCAAACTAGTATATTACAGTATGCCGTTTAAAGGTACAAAGAATACCCCATCCCTCAATGAACATGTTACCAAGAAGAAAATATTATGCTCTAGACGTGTAATTGACCACATAATTTCTGAAATTCTACCAAGAAAAAAATTCAAACACAACTAACCGTCTCAAGGGCCATTTGAAACCGAGATGCCACAAATGGAAGAACCAGTGAGGGTTCCACATAAGAAAGTATAGAAGTTGCTGCAGCAACTGTCTCAGAGAGATGCTCATTCTTGCTGTATTGTCCCCGGTCGATTAACTTAAGCATTGTGTTCACAAAGAAGACCCTCTCTGATTCTCCAAGATGCTGTTCAGTAGGTCTACAATTATTTATGCCCCTGTAAAACAAACCTTTTCAGTTTCATAAAACAGAAACAGGACAAAAAACAGAAAGATGACAAATGATAATTAATCCTTACAACTGCTCATTCTGTAGACGCTTCTGAAATTGAATCACCAAATGAAACAAAAACCTCTCCAATGAGTAAGTCCAACGACCACCATTTGAGGGATGATAATATCTAAGATAGAAAAAAGTCGGTAACAAAAAGGAAATCATTGAATTGAAGAGAAGGCAAGCTTAACTAAGCTAAATACAGCAAGTGATGTGTAAGTAAACTAACTGTTCCAAAATGTTGACCAATTTCTCAAAGTGCTGTTTTGCGGAACTACCAGGTTTTAGCAAATATACCTGCAGTTGCAATTACAAAAGATCAATATTAAAAGTAAGAAACCAGCAACATGACTCCAATGTTAGAATCCCTCAGAGGTAAGCATCAACATATTTTCTTACAATTGACTTGGAGATAGCCTTTGCAGGGGTGGAAGTTCTATTGGAAAACAAGAACCTTGTGTTTCTTGGGACATCCAGTGAATAGGGATATGATCCACTTCCATTTGCAACAGGAACCTGCAATTCATGAGTGCAAGAATGAAACGTAAGCAAAATCAATATGACTAACCAAAGGAATAAGTAATAAAATTTATACAAAACATAGGTTGGGAATATAATAATAGTTTCCTCTTTTTTTCGGCAGTTTTCTGCTGTAACCCACAACTGTCACTGTTTAGTCAGTCCAACTAGTCCCGGCCTCGTGTTTCCAGTTTTGCTCCAGGGAAAATCGTGTTTCAATCAAAGAGCCCTTACTTTATGTTTTGGTCTTATTTTGCATCTTGTGTCATAGGTTTCTGGTATCCTATTGGTATTCTTTTGTGTTGCTTTGGATTCTTAACAAAGAGGAAACTATTATTATATTCCCAACCTTTTGGAAACTCGAAAATAGAATTGTAGTGAGAGTATCCAAGGAGATCGAAATAGCTATAGATACCAATACCATAGTAGAATTTGATATTGGGATATATAGCCTATCCAAAATATCTTGTTGGCCTTCCCAAAACAACAAAAAAACATTGTATATTATATAAGGATGAGTTAGGCCCCCAATATAAAAATGTAATATTGTATTAGAGCTTATCCAAGATTCGTTGCGTTGGGCCATCTGCTATCAGGGTTCCTCTATCGGGCCACCCACCTTTATATCCACGCACCAAACCCAATAGTGTTTGCCGTGAGGGGTTATGTTATCAGTCCCATATCAGAAAGGATAGGGCCAGAAAATATGCTTACTAGTGAGGGCAATTCTCACCTCTCGAGCCGGTTTGGTAAGGTTGGGGGTTGAGTTAGGTTCAAACCCAAATTTTAAGACTTCCCACTAGTTGAAAATATCTTTATTGTGGAAACGGTGTTTATTTGCTTGTATCTATAGGGTTTTAAAAATAATAATATACAAAATGATCCAGCCGTTAGCCAGAAACTGTCGTGATACACCCTGAATTGATTGGCAACAGCTACATCAAGTGCATTTATCAAAATACAAAAGAAATACGGTACAAATATGTGATCAATTTTGTGAAAAAACCTAACATTCAGCATTACCCTCTAAGAAAAACATCATTCTTTTGATATTAGCTACTAAGCACTTGTATATAATTAATTATGTTTCACTACACTAGTGTTAAAACTCCAAAAGCCAAAATCTCAGATGCAAACAAGTTAATAAATATTTAAAAAGGGAGAAAAAGTAACAATAAATTATTTTCAATCAATCTATAAATCCAAATGTGAATAAGATAAATTATTTTCAATCAATCCATAAATCCAAATGTGAACAAGACTAATGTTACTATAAAAATTGATATGCTCACCTCAAACATATTTAAGTATTTAGCGAAAAGCAAAGGCAAGAGTCCCTCCCAATCAACATTGTGGTAATTTTTTACAACACGGGCTATGACATCCGCCCACTGACTGTTCCAGAATTGGCAATTTGGTATGGACTCCCACAAATCTAGACACTCTGTAATCCAATCACTGCCAATTCAATTGTAAAACGTCATTGCACAGGAAGTCAAATCAGATATCACCAAATTTCCTAACAAATTAATGCTTCTTACTGTGTAAAAAAGGCCTGATTGTCCAAATTTGTTGGGAGAAACAATCTAGTGAACCCAGATCCTTCGAATGATGAATTATGCCATGGGTTTTGCAATAAAGATCTACGAATCATCCATAGACCCAAATAAAAGTAAGTCATAAGAAAATATTATAAATAAAAAAAGAAACTCAAAAGATGTAAAACCCCTAATACAGGTCCACCATTATTCCATTAAACATAGACAACTCACTTTTTCATTAATTTCAGTGTCAATTAAAAGTGCAAAATAAATAAAGGCATAAGAAGAAAAACTTGTAATGATTCAACATTATGCAGAAACAATGACAGAGCACTCACTTAAACTCAGACCATATCTCAAAGGCAGAACCTGATGGGAAGAATCTTCGGCAGGACTGAACAAGTGAAGTTATAGTTTCAAAATGCCGTTGTCTTACTCTCCAACCTTCTGGGCCTGTACTTCTGCAACAATAATATAATTCATAATCACCGGCCTAAAATTATTGAATATTATATCAAGCAAAGAATTAAATTGTTCAATATATATTCAACTATGTATTGAGCTTTAGCAGCAGACTACTAAAGTTCAAAAGTAAATGAAGAAAAGTTTAAGAAAATAACATGAAAATCAAATAAAAGCTTAAGTTTATAACTAAGAATAAACTATTGTCTTCATTTCTAATTCATGTTTTAGAGGATCAAGATTTATTTTCTTTTTTTTCCTTTGTTTTCAATGACAGCTAAGAAATCAAAGATTCCAGAGCTAGGCATCGCAGACTATGAACAACACAAAATAACTATAAAGTTTAGACCAATTAAGGCTGCATCAGTGTAAACCTTACCTAGTAAAATGTGTGCTAACCAGTGTATCATACAGAGGCCTCCATTCAATAGTCAGTGAAATCTTTTTCCTATACTTGTTGAGTAGTCTGACTAATAAATTTCCCCACCTAACCTAATAAACAAAAAATGACACATTCATTTAAGAACATGAAAAAGCCACGAAAACAAGAAAACTCCATATCTCATTCAAGAAAAAATGCAGCACCTGGGGGTAAAGCTTATTACGGGACATGTGAAATAATTCAAGGCCGGTCTGAATAAGGCTGCGGACATCCTCCAAAGACACAACACTTTTCGCCTTTATAAATCTGCACAATACATAAAAGTTAGATTTCGTTTCATTCACTAACTCTATCCTGGATACAACCCAAGAACGAAAAACCCCACGTCCACTACTAACAATGCAATAAAGTGCAAGTGGATACTACTAATAAGAATTTCACACTGAATAACAAATATTGAAACTAGTGATAACAGTACATAACTACAAAATCAAAGAAACAAATGTAATTTTTAATGCATAATATATGATATGATGTTATAGACACGACTAACATGAGAACACTCTCAAGCATTTTATGTTAGGATTTTCTTATTTAAAGAAAATAATCGCATTTCTTTGACAGTACCCGAGGGAAGTCTTTAACAGATGTTCGAGGGGAGTCTTTAGGGATTCTTTACGGAAAAAGCCATGAAGCATTGACACACACATGGACACCATACACGACATCAAAGTTTTAAAAAGCGGTCATAGACCGCGAAAATGTCCGCGAGAAAACAGCATTGGCAGTTGTCAATACCGATACCATTATTCACCGAATTGTGGTTAATTCACACAGCGACGAACGCAATAAATGTCGCAACATCTGTACTGACCAAAATCGCAAAAGCATTTACGCGATCGCGGCCGTTTTTTAAAACCTTGCATGACAGTGACACATTCATACCGATAATAATTTTAGATGGAAGTAATTGAATGTAAACATAGGTGTAATTGCTGCATATATGGAAGCCATTAGTTTCTCATAATTTAGCCGACCCAGAGATGTAATGTCAATCAAAAACAACATCAATTCATCAGTATCCTGAACTATTTTGATGATCAGATAATCAGCATAATTGCAACTTGCTGACAAAACAGTGAAAAGTGACACTCTAAAAGTCAATAGCGTTTCAGTAACTTCAATCTTCAATACTTCACCAAACCTTCAAGTTCAATCTCAACAACAAAAATTCATCTAAACACAAAATCTTCAAGCAGTAACCTCTAAAACAGCACAATCACCTAAATTTCTTAAAATTTAGCAGATAACAAATCAATTGAAATTGAAGATAACGAAAATCAAAACACTGTAAATATCAAAACAACAAAAACGAAAATCAATTAAGAGAGAGAAAACTGAAATTGAAAACCAAGAGTTGAAAATGGAACTGACAGGTCAAGGACGGAGATGTATTTGAGAGTTAAGTAAACGGATTCGGGATCGTCACGGTTGAAAGAAGAGTTGACGGCGGCGATGATGCGAGCGAAGGAGTCTCTCTCGGCGGCGGTCTGAGCCGCCACAGGTGGCGGCAACCATGCATTGTAGAGATGCATATTTTGTGTTTGAAGAAAAGCAGAGAGGGGTTTTGGTTTTGGTTTTGGTAGTTATTTGTTGTGGAGAACTGTGAATGTGAATATATAAAGAGTTTAGGTGAGGATTGAAGATTTAGAAGTGCTTTGTGAACAAGAAAGGTAAATTGTTAGAGAGAGAAGAGAGAGTGTGAAACTGAAAAATATTATTTATTTATTTATTTTTTGTTGTTAATTATTTATTACTACAGTGGTAGTAATGGAGGAAAAGAAGACTTGGGTGTTTGCATTACAATTGACTTTTAATTACTGATGAATGAGACCGCCATTAGATTCATTCACAGTGGTAATTGCTTCTAACAAATTTGATTTAACACTATTTTCATTAGGGAGGTGAAGTGAAATCGAACGGCGTGGATCTCATCTTGTTAGTTTTATTAGTTTATGGAATCATGGATTATATGCTCTTTGGTTCGGTGGGGTCATTTGATCTCTGTGGAGGGCTAGAAACGTCGTGGTATTTAATCACATCATGAGTAATTTATCGAACATTGTTTTGAGTATTAAAATATTGGTTTGAAAGTGGTTCTTTTTAAGTGAAATATTTTTCTGTCAATTATAATTTTTATGGATTTAACAAACCTCATATGCTTTATTTAGCTTAAATTATATTTTGATAGAAATTTTTTCTTCTTTGGAGTTTTTATTTCATTTTATAATCGGGTTAGATTACCTTCGATACTCTTTTCAATTCAACTTGCTTACAAAAAAAAATATGAATTATATGCTCTTTGGACAAATGACACTGTAAATCGTATGATGATCATGGTATTTGCATAATAACTAGCTCCATTTCATTTAACTAGAATGGAATGCTATTCATGCACTATATTTATATAGTAATACTTATACTAAAACACTGTTTTAACACTAAAATACTGTTCTAACGTATATTATGGCGAATAGTATTTTTTTAAATTAAATAAAAAAATTTGTAAATCTGTAAACAGTACTGTAAAAAATGATATTTAGTGATAAAACAATAAGTTAATAAAATATAAAAAATTAATTAATAAAGTAATAATGTTGGTTAATAAATATTCAAATATCAAAAATAGTTTTTAATAGGAAAATAAAATTAATTAATGAAATATAAAAAAATAATTAATTAAATGATTAAGTTGGTTAATAAATATTTAGATATTAAAATACTTTTAGTAATAAAACAAAATTGATTAATAAAATATAAAAAATTAATTAATTAAATGATAAAGTTAATTAATTACACAATTTTAAAAAATAATAAAAAATATCTCTATATAATTTTTGTTGGATGAATGAAATGAATAGCAGTTTAGATATTTGGTGTGATACAAAGATATCGTTATGTTGAAGAAAAAAATTTATTATTTTGTAGTAAGATCCACAATATTACATACGATAAAATGTGACGATTAAATATAAATATGAGAATAAAATAAATATATAACATAAATGAAAATTGTTGTATAACATGTGATAAAATTAAACAGACATAAAAAAAAAGTAGTAGACATGATACTATTAAAAAGAGTGTTTGGATAGCTCATGTAAAAATGGTTTAAAAAAATAGATTAAAATGATTTTGACATGTAGAAAGAGAAGAAATATAAATTATAAACTATGATAAGAAGAGGAGTCAATATATATCATTATTAAAAAAAATTGAGATTAACCATTTTAAAATAAGTGTTATTTTTAATTTTGAGAAAAGAGATTATGTATTAACCGTGTAAATTAATTTTATACGGTTAATTAATTACAATTTTATATTAGAATAAATTATATTTTAATTTTAAAATTCTTTTAATGATAAAATATGGTTGGTTTCATATTAGATGACAGTATAAAATAATTTTACATTATCGGTATATATAAATTAAATTCTTTAATTTTAATACAATAACAATTTTTAATTATACTTTATAATAAAATTATTTACATTACTTTAATCTAATATTTTTAATTTTATATATATGATAAAAGATGAATATAATGTATAATAAGAATAATTTAATAAAAATTATAGTATATTTCTTTTATTAATACAATATTTTAATATTTGCAGATGAGTAACTAAATTATCTAGTATTTTGTAACTTGGGAAGTGACGTAGGAAGTACCAATTATCGTTTAACGAGTACTCGAAGATTCGGTGTTTGATCCTTACAGCTAACAACTTTCTCCATCCCTTAGGGCCTGATTGAAACAATAGAAGTTGAGAAGAGAGATTATGAAGAGAGAGAAGTAGAAGAGAAATAAGCTATTTCTTCTGATTGGAAAATCAAAGAAATAGAAAAGAGAGATTGAAAACATGTGGAATCCATGCAATTTTTGTTTCTCTCCAATTTTAAGAAGAAACTGCTGAGAAATAGATGAAGGCCACACATTTTTTAGCTTTCCAATTTTAACCACCATATTACTTAAATCAATTTAAATTTTTATTTATGTTTCTCTAATACGTTAAACCACTGCCACTTGTATATATATACTACTGACCTTAGGATAAAATATTATTATATTTTATTATTTTTAAAATATTATATATTAATATAAATAACATGAATATGAATGTATATTAATATTTTTTTAAATTATATATATAATAATACATTAAAATTTAATTTAAGGATATTTTTGTCTTTTTAAAAATTAAATATATTTATTTCTCTTCTATTTCTCTTCTATTTCTTTTATACCAATCAATATCTCAAATCTACTCTATTTCTCTTTTATTTCTCTTTTCTTATACTCTTTCTTACCTATTTCTCTCTTCTCAATTTTTTCTCTCAACCAATCACACTCTAAGAGAGTAAATTTTAAACAAGATTTTCTCTTTACATCTAATAGTGGTGAAAATTAACCTTGAATATAAATTTAAAAGAGAAATAGAATGAATATATTCAATGAATCAGATTCATTTTGTAAAGAAAATTTTAAACAAAATTTACTCTAATAGTTGTAAATTTGAGATATTAAATTATTTCATATATATATATATATATATATATATATATATATATATATATATATATATATATATATATATATATATATATATATATATATATATATATATATATATATATATATATATATATATATATATATATATATATATATATATATATATATATATATATATATATATATATATATATATATATATATATATATATATATATATATATATATATATATATATATATATATATATATATATATATATATATATATATATATATATAAATGCAGAAATTACTATTTTTTATTTTCAGATAGATTTTGGATACGTTATATCCGAAATAATTCAATATCTCATTTTTTTTTAAATATTTATTTATAATATAGTTATAATATAATTAAATTGAGTTATTATTAATAAAGAACAATTTAAATTTATAATTAAACATTAAATATTAAAATAAATTTATTATATCAAATTAAATAATAAATGTAATAATTAAATTTTTAATTATAACGATAAAATATAATTGTCTTTTAATTTTTATTTAAAATTATGGATAATTTTTTATAAAAAAATATAAGAAATATTTTTTAATTATAATTTTAAAATTTTAATTTAATTTAAATGAAAATTTTTAATTATTATTATAAAATTGATAATTAATTATTATATTTAATTAAAAAAATTATTAAATTAAATAAATATATTTTTCCATTTCTAACACACTAAAAATATATAAAACTTATATAAATAACTGATAAAGTAATATAATTAATATAATTGATACACTTTGATTATTGTTGAAATTGATACCTTATTTTAATTGTTGAAATATTTTAGATATGTTAATCAAAGACGAAATATTAAATTATTTCAGATATACATATAAAATATTTTTAAAATTTTAAAATTAAATTATTTCAGATATACATATCTGAAATATCTCAAAAACATTAAATTATTTTAAAAATATATATCTGAAAACACCTTTATTTATTCGGAGATGCACTTTTAAATTAGATATTTTAAAATTTTCGTCAAAAGTTTTAAAAAAAATATAATAAATATGAAAAAGAAATTATCATTTAGACCAACTAGATGTCAGAATTCTGTTTAAAATTGTTTAGAACTGTCTTTTTTTTTTTTTTGTACAATACAATATTATACATTAGCAAATCGGAATTTTAGCAAATTGACTCCCCCAAATTATATGTCACATCTTAATATCTATAAATTACTAGTAGTATATTTCTTTACGATGAATAAGACAAATTACCTCACAATTATTCTGCATCGGTTAAGAAATGATTCTTACATTTAGATGTGACATTTTACAACATCCCCTCCACAAGTAGAGTTTATAAGAACATATTCTTCGAAGAAGCGGGTTAGGTATGGCAAACGAGTCCTATTTAGATTTATTCTTTTAATTCAATTTATTTTTTAATTTTTATTTTTGTGTTATGTTTCATATCTCTCAAAAATTTAAAATTATTTTTAAAAAATTATAGAATATATTTTCAAATATTCCTTAAATCACATCTTTCTTCATAATCACTTTATTTTTGCTAAAAACTAGTTTAGAGTTATATCTGAAATTTTTTAGGATGAAGTCAAATATATATATCTCTGAAAACAGTTATGATTATATTTATTAAACATTATTCATTGAAATTGACATTGTTGTTAAAAACTTTCTGTCGATCTTAATCAATATTAAAGTTATAGAAATTATATCATCGCGTTTTATCTTTCGTGTTCATGTGTTTTCGGCCTTTACACGATAAAGCATAAAGGACTTACTTTTTTAAAAAATTGATTCTAATTAAAAAAATTTACCATATCATTTCATCCAAAAAAAAATACAAGATCAAAACCTCATATTTATGGAGCACATAACCTTAATTTTATAAGAGCCTACAAATAAAGTTGATTGGTCACAAAAAAAATGAGAGCGAAGCAAACAGATTCTCAAGTATCCTTTTTTAAAATACAAAAATTTATGTTAAATATAGTT